CAAAACCAACACAGTGGTCCTCCTGGATCATGTTCTCCCCTTGGGGTGTGGTTTTGAAAGTGTTTGTTTTTTTCATGGCAAAGCTGATTTCTGAGATTCCTACCCTTTGGTAACCCTCAGGATGTTCTATGAGCCAATGCAGTGATTTCAGTCCAAGAAATTTCTATCACTGTCCCTGTCACCTCCAATGTCAGTGCAACTATTTTGTTATGCAAGAAAAGGTTGTTAGCAAGAAGGGATAGTTTTCATCCCAGTTCAGCATGGTCCTTAGAAACAATTTGTTGACTTGGAGAGGCAGATGTATTTAGGCTGCAGAGGTGCAAATGAATGGTTGTAGCTACACCTTTCTGTAAGGGCTAATAAAACTTTTACTGAATGTATCCAGAACACTGTCCAACAAACAGGTTCGTCAGCCTCTTGGGAGTCCCTGTTGTGTGCAGGTGGGAGCTTGGATGAGCAAGAACCTCATGGAGTGTCCTTGCTAACATGGAACTGTGCCTGTATTTACTGCATGCTCTTCTCCTGCCACAACATGTGGCTGTATTAATATTCTCATGGACTCTTCCATGGCACTGATATCACATGTCTTACTGTCTAGTAAGATGGGATGTCTACTTTAAGTACCCAGATTTAATTTCTGGGTATTGATGACAAGCTGAAAATAAGAGGCTGGTGCTCTCCTGCTGTGCATTTTCTGATCTATCCTCTCTGTTTTCCCAATGCCTTTTGAGTTCATTGCTTAGTTTGCTCAGCTGAAGGAAGAATTGAGGAGTGTCCCAGCTTGAAGGAAAGGCTTTAAGAAATGCTGTGCAATTAGACACCAGAGACTCCATGTGAGAGTCCATAAAGGCAGAAATCATGGGAGAAGCACATTTGAGAGCTTAAGTTAATTGTGAGGCCCAAACCATGGGAAATGTGGCTTCCTTAGCTGCAGTGCGCACAGAATCATTTCCTTCTGGAGGTGTCGCGTGTGCTCAGCACAGGAATCTGCTTGCATCCCTCCCTGGGTATCTGCAGAGAAGGAAGGGGAAATAATTTTTGAGTTTATTGCGAAGTGACTTGTCCTGAAGTCCAAAATTTATAGAAGAATGACAATTCTGGCTGTGTGTATCAGTTCTAAGTCTTTGAGGGTACTAGCATGTTGGGGATCCTATAGACAGCCAATGTTTTGAGCATCTTCCACTCCATTAGGTGAAGTAGGAGTGTCACCTTTTAGCTTTTTTCCCCCCCCCCATCTCCCAAGGATGATGTTATTACAGTGCATTTAATAATGACCAAGCACAGGGGCACACACTTCAGAACACCACCACTGGCACTGACTTTGATCCAGCCCTCTCAAATGGGTGCTGTTGGATATAATGTAAACGGAGTCACTCATACTGAAAGACACATTTGGGTTTTAGTCCCATCTGTGCAAAATATAACTCCTCGGGGCATCTTCACATTGTATCAAGCTCATGGGGGCTTAATACATAGAGGTGGGGTTTGGTCCAAGATGAAAATTGCTGAGGCATAAGGGCTGAAAAATTTGCCAAGATATCTGCAGTGGTTGTGCAACACTAGGAGTCTGGCAGTATTGGAATATATGGATTGTGTCTGGGGATTTTTGTTCTTAAGAAAAGAACTGCTCTGGGGAATTTAAAAAAAAAAAAACAAAACAAAACCCAAAACAAAACCAACAAGAAAAAAACCACCCAACAAAAAACCCCCACCACAAAAAGTAGCTGAGACAGTCATGTCTATAGTTTTGGTGAACAACTTCCGAAATATTATATGGAACTGGATTGGATATCATGCATCATGTAGGCTTGTTAAGGAAAATATGTATTAGTTTGTCTGGTGACTGTTGTTTTTCTTTTGTTTCCTTCCTTTCCCGAATTGTTGAAAACAGTAGCTATTCATGAGAGGATGCAATGACCGTGGCTGAAGTCACAGCTGCAGGACTGGGTTTTAGACTGGAAAGGGGAAGGGAAGATGAGATCATTATATGAAATGCTCTTACACCTTCTCTTTGTTTTTCAGTGGATGAATATATTGCCATTGCTAAAGAGAAGCATGGATACAATATGGAGCAGGTAACAACCCCTTGAATACTTTATTTTAAAATCTTTTTCAGCAGATTTTAAATCATGACTTAAAGTGACTGCCTAGAACTGCTGCTTCCCTTCTGTACCATCTGTGTTTTCTCCTCTCCTACTTCTCCCAAAACTGACTGTTCCTAATAGTAATGTGTGCTTTGGGGATATGGAGTTCACCCTTAGTTTTACATCAAGAGTCAAAAGAAGAAAACCAAAACCATTGTAATTTCTAATGGAGTTTGGCCATGAGTATTATGCTTGCTATGGTGACTACCTCTTGAACGCTTTCAGAACCCCTAAACAATATTAAAAAGACTGGCTTGTCTTTGGACAGCTGCCTGATTGTACTGCAGTTTCCAGTTGACTGGTCCATCTTTGCTTCATGGATGTCTTGGCAGTTATTAATGAACTATTGAACCATCGTATGCTTTTCAGAGGCAAGCCAATATCCACAGTTATTTACCTTAAAACTGTGCTGCAAATCATTTTGCATTTCATAAGTGAGCACCTCAGATGTCGGTGCAGTAGCAGTGGACGACTTCACCAGCTGTCCCTGAGGTTAGCCAGTGCCTTTATCCTAGGGCTGGAAATTATGGTCTGAGGAGCAGACCTCTCCTTTACTCCATGTGCTCTAGGATTGTGTACTAATCTTCCCTATGTTAACTAACATCGATTTCAACACTCATCTGGGAAGATGAGTAGACCTGTGCCTAGGAAGCTTTTCTGAATTCTGTGGAGTTTCCTTATGCACTCATACTTACCCGGAAAGGAAGGTGGGGAATCTCGTGATTTACTGTATTGGCAAATTACGTACTCTCTCCACAAAGGGATTCTGTGAAAACTTGAAAGTTTATGAAATTGTTCAGGCAAAAAGCCATGAGCATAGAAACCAATGATTTGGATGGGGAAGGGTTTCTGTTTAAATGACACTGCTGTCATCTTTGAGTCAGACTTTCAGTGGTTGATACTCATGCTCAGAAAAACTTCTTGTGGAACAAGAACATTGAAGTTGAGGTAGCCAGCAAAATTTCCAGCAGACCCAGGAATGATCAGACTTGATAATTACAGTTTCTAAGAGCAGAAAACAGCAATAAAAGGAACACATGCACCAAAAGGCTGCAAACTTAAATGAAAATAAGGATGGTAGCTTACTTCAGTGAGGGTGGGTATATCCTAGTATTGGATATTGTGGGTAATATTTGTCAAAAGATATGATCTCGGGGTAAAAAAGATGGATTTAATTATTTTAGTGGAGAAGTGTTGTTTGGAGAATATAGACTGATCTGGAAGACTGATGAAAATGAAGTGTACGATTTTTTAAATAAAACCACTAATTCTTGTGTTTTGAAAACCTTAAATTCGGCTAACAGATTTGCACTCATTTTAATGTTGGAAATACAGACCTCCCACTCATTCCTTGGAGTCTTTCTCCCCATTTCTCTCTTCTGTGTACTGAAGTTATGGGATTCACCACACCTGGATGTAAAGTGGCTAAGCAAATTGAAATAACATCCCTCCTTCTAAAAATTTTCTCATTCCTTCCCTAGCACTCTCGCATAATACTCTGGAGTTAAACATGTTTCCCAGGTCCTTTATGATTTCCTAGACAGCTATGCTAGGAACTTCCAGGAAGTAACTGGAGAGGTTCTATCTTGTATTGCTGTAGAAGGCACGTACTCATTTTGTATTATAGGGACAAGCGTTAAGGCTTTCAAATCAGGATGATTTGTTGTGTCAGCAAGGGACACTCTCTCTACAACAGGTATCATCAGAGTTGTTGGCTGGATAACTGTGGACAAGCTGATATGGACTCCCTGGAAGCCAGTCAGAGCTTGCTTTAACGTTTGGCCACTGTCTCTGGGCTTTGCTGGCTGGAGCAGCCCTTTCCCACATGTGCAGCTGGTCTCTTTGGACTTCTTTTCAGGTGGCTTTGCTGACAGTCAGATTCCTGTTTTCATCTGTGCCCCCTGCCCAAAACCTCCCTTTGCAGACTAAGACCGGTTTGAAGGGAGTGGTGAGCTGTCAGGGCGGCTGGGCCCTGCACTGGCACTCCTCTGCCCAGTGACTTTCCTGTCCAGCTGGCTGCATCTGCACCACGCACGGCTCCCATATCTCTGTCCTTTCTCTCCCCTTGCCTGTGGCAGAGTGCCCTGTTGCTGGCTCTGCTGCTGTTGGATGATGGCTGGAGGCTTGGGGCTGTGCTGGTAGGAGTCCCTGCAGCCTTGCCAGCTCGAGGGCGGGCAAAGGGCAGGCTCTGGCAGGCAAGGGAGCTCTGGCAGGGCAAGTCTGCTTCAGCTGCTGTTGGCAAACTGCAGTAGATGGTTGTGGTGGAGCCGTAGCAGTCACAGGCTTTTGGGAGCACTACAGCAAGTCTGGCTGTGAGCTGTACTCTCCTGCCAGCCTCTGTCAGGCGCCGTGGGACAAAGACAACTGGAAAAGCTGTGTACTTGCCTGTGTATGAGTGCAGAGCTCTCCTAGGACAGCATGTGGTGGAGGAAGAATACTGCTCTCCTGTTAAGCCTATAAATAAGGAAAACCTTTTTGTTTGCCTTTTGCTTGGTGTAAGCTGCTTGTCCCCTCAGCCCTCGTTGGTACCTTAGTGCTATTTAACACTACCCTGCCCTCCCAAAATGTCCCCCTCCTTGTTTTTCCCTTGGTTTCTCACAGGGATGTTTGGTATGTCTCATACCTGAAGCTGAAAGGGATGGCAGGGGAGAGAAAACTCAGTTCTTCCTGGCTGCTTAATAGTTTCTTTGGCTCTATGCTGACCAGAGCGGATGGAGATAAGCGGCAGTGTGGCTCCTGTGACATCTCAAGTAACTGTGCTGCAACCAAGCCTACTTCGTGTTCTGCATGGTGGCAAAAGGGAGGAGAGGGTGCTTAGGCAGCACTGAGAGGACAGTAGGGTCAGGACAAGGTCTTGGATAACACTAATATTTATACGCATACTCTGCAGAATCTCAGGGGAGCAAGATCCCATAAAGGAACTGCTTTTTGCATAGCAGAGCATAATGGGGAAACCCCGAATTTGGAGGGATTTTGTAGCTCTGAGCAGCCAGGGCGAAACTACTAGATGAGGTTAACTGCGGCTGCGAAACCCAAGCTGAGTTTGCATATGACAAGCAGGTTACTCTGATGTTTTACTCAGCATGTTAGGGATTGTTTTCACTTTACAGCCATTGTGAAAGGCTAGTTTCTAGCTCTGCAGAGTCAGGACTTCCCAAAATGACTTGCGGTGGTCGCTGGCATGCCAGATGTAGTGATGTGTCATAACGCACAGGAGCTGCGCACCCCTGGGAGAGGGGTGGCTGTGAGCGAATGTCTCAGATGGTGGGAGGAGGACGGTTTGCAGGTGGTGAAGTGCAGTGCATGCGTTTTGCCTCTGGAACTGAGAACTGGAGACTGCAACAGTGAAACGAGGCATCTCTGAAGGGAACAAATGAGCAGCCCCCAAAATGAGTGAGACTTGTCCCTGACCCGAAGGAGGCACGTCTTAGCAGCAAGTCAAGGTTGTGCATGCTCTCTACTTTTCCTTCTTGGGTTCTTCCCTTATCTCCCCCGCCCCTGCCAAAAAAGAGTCCTCAAACAACCATAAACTCCTGAGTCAACTAAACCATCCTCCTGATTGCATGGGAAATGATGGTGGTTTAGCACTGGCAAGAAGCTTCCTTTAGTCCAGCCTAGTTTTTAGGTAGTCTTCCCAAGTCTTTGCTTAGCTTTCCCGTGCATACCACAATCAGTAAAGTTGGAATAATTTCTTCAATTTTCTTCTTTCCCCTTTCTGATGCTCCTCTTTTATTACATTACTACTGTGTGGCTTGGATAAATTTCAAGTTGGTCTTCAAAACCTAGCAGGGTGGGGGGTCACATTCCAGGTTTCTTGCACACAGATAAGTGCCTGATGTAGCTGAGAATTAAAAATTGTCTAATGTGTTGCCTGAGAAAAATGCTGTAGTGCTCTACCTTTGCATGCGTATAGTAATGTTTCTTGTGATTACAATTGTCCCCTTGGTGTCCTTGTTATTTTTAGGCCCTTGGGATGCTGTTTTGGCACAAGCACAACATTGAGAAGTCTTTGGCAGATCTGCCAAACTTTACTCCGTTCCCAGATGAGTGGACAGTGGAAGACAAGGTCTTGTTTGAACAGGCCTTCAGTTTCCATGGGAAAACCTTTCACAGGATCCAACAGATGGTAAGTGGTGTCAGAGGAACAGAAAAGCAGAACAGGCCATTGGACTGTCATCTTCAGTGCCGATTGTGCTGGACTCCTGCAAATGCTCTTGGGAGAGAACAGGCCAAAGGGGATGTTAGAGGAAAAATATTACCATGAATAGAAAGAAACAACATTGTTTCCAGAGTCTCTGTAGAAGTGTTTTCCTGAAGTGCTTTACTGGTTCAGGATAAACTTAGTGTAATTTTTTTGGTTGCAAAATACAGTTTTCACTCCTCTGCGCTATGGTAGTGTGTACGTCTCAGCTGGGGTTCAGGCATGGTCTGTACACACATGCCCAACTACACACAGAGTAAAGATCATCTCTGTGCAAAGTTGATTTTCTTTCTTACAGCCTGCTTTTTAGGAATTAATTTTATTTGACTATGAAGTCTGTGCTTAATGTGATTTGGGACTGTCAGTGGATGCTGTGGTGGAGGTTTATACATCATTGCAAGCATTCAGTCCTTTGCTTTTGGTTGGTAGTGATTTTTTTTTTTTTTTAACTGTGACTGAAAACTTCAAGGGTAGGTTTCTGCCTGAAAGGGAACTGCTGGGCTGTGTGCAGTTTTCTTTTTCAAAAGAGGGAGAGGATGGGATGTAAAATTTTTTATTAATTATATATTGAGAGTTTCTTCAAGTGCTTCATCACCTGGGTGGGAACCAGACTTCATTCTTTGCTCTCCTTCAGTAAAGTGCCACTCAAGTGTTCCAGCAGGACCTGGTTAAGTTGGTTGTGACCCTTTGAAGTGTGCCTAGGCTGTTGCAGTCTGCTCAGACTCTTTAAAGCACCTGTGAAGGCCTGCATTGCTGATCCCACTGAAAAGCGAAAGGCAGCTTGCCTCCCAGGTGTGAAGGAAAACTGCCAGGTCCCCTTTCAAAAGGGTGGCAGGAAGAGGCTTGTTCTCCTCATGTCCTCCTTGAATGTTCCTTCACTGGTGTTCATTTCCAAATATTGTTGGAGTCCTAGGGTCTCCCACTCCCTTGGGTCAAATGTTGGGACTTGCACATGCTATGGACAGCTGATACAGATGGTCTGGAGAGTTGTGGACTCCTGAAGGGTGAAGCTGTTTTCTTCTTTATTCCTCTGGTTTTAAATAGGGGAAAAAAAAGGAAGGGGAATGTCCTGGGTGAAGAAAGAGAACATAAAGCCTGTCCTGTTGCTTGGTTAAACGCCAAAGCAAGAAATTCTCAATTTGGTTTATGTGCAGAAGCATGACTCTGTCCCCGAGTGAAGTGCATTCCAATACAGGGATGCCAAGCTCATGCACTGTTCCCTAGGTAATGATATTTTTTTACTGTTGCTCTCAGAAAAGCCATCCTGCACAAAAGGAATTAAATGAGGTGAAGCTTTGTGTTTAGCAGGGGATAGGAATCAATGGCTCGGGAACATGTTAGTTGTTAGTTTATATATGCTGCCCCATTAGCACCAGTGCATCTTGGAACTGAGGGGAAAAAAAATCATCAAAGCCAGAGAATGAAAAGTGAGTTACGTTATTTACTGGAGTTGGTTCTGATATTTTGGCACTCTTAGCATGTGTTTGTAGCCAAGTGGATGTTTGTCATGAACAGCCTTGTCCCTAAGTTTGTTCTGTGGAACTCTTTAATTCCAGCGTACCAGCCTGCTGCATGGCTATTGGCAACACATCATCAACACAGCACCTGTGCTTTCCCAGTGCAGATGGATTTATACCTGTGTGCAGTTGTGAGCCAGGGTGGTAGTTCTGGTGTGATCCTTTATCAGGACCTAAAGTCAACCTGTAGTCTGAGAACCAGGCTTAAAGTGAAGACTTAAACTGCGGTATCTGAATAAGAGATATCTGGCTCATGCTCACAGTTTTGTTTTCCTCCCCACCCATCTTGCCCTCCAAGCTGAATCAGACACTTTTCTAAAACATGTTTTATTCAGTAAGTAAGGCTGGACTTTTACCTTGTAGAAGTCCTGCATAAGAACATCCATGCGGAGTACCTCAGAAGTAGATAATTAGTCTTAATGTAGTTTTGGAGGCAGACTTTTCATTCATAGCTACAGGGCAATGACATTAGTGGAAGAGGACAAAAAAACCAACCAATTCCAAGACTCATGTTTTCATATATCCTCAGTTCACCATACAGTAATGTTTCACCTTTTGAAAACATCTTCTGCTGAGACCTTTGAATAGACTTCATCATGTGAACGGTGTGAATAAGCCTTTTTAACCAAACATCAAAGATATGCTTGGGATGTAGCCTGCAATTCAGTAGTTCCTGCAGTTGCTTACACATGCCTGTGTTGGCTTTTAAAACTGTTATCTCTGTTTCAAGGCCCCATTTTGGATTTGCTCTTGCTATGTTCCTCTATTCTGAAGGGAACCAGCTACTTGGCTGGTGAGTGGAGGCTTGCTGAGATTCTTTTTAGAGATTTTGAAGTCCTAAATAGTAGGCACTAACCTGAAACACTCCCCCATAGATAGTTTTTTGGAAAGGCTGCAGAACTGCCTTGAGCCTTTGAGAGAATCCAACCTAGAGAAATCAGATGTTCCTTGGCAAAACCAGACCTATTGTATGTGAACTCCTGGGGATACTTTACATATAAACATATAAAAGGATACATGTTTAATTTACAGCTTCCTGACAAATCAATAGCCAGCCTGGTGAAATTTTACTACTCCTGGAAGAAGACAAGGACTAAAACTAGCGTGATGGACCGTCATGCTCGTAAACAAAAAAGGGAACGTGAGGAAAGGTAGGTTTGCAAGCAGAAAGGCTGTGTATTGACGCACACTGATTTCTTTAGACGATCTCAGAGATTCCTGTTAGCTTGTAAGAAACTAGATGTAGGATTTTCCCCAAAATGTTTCCTGGTACCACACCTTCTTTCCCCACCCCTCTTCCCTGCTCTGCATGTTTTGCTTTGCTTAAAGCCAAAAGGATTCTGTCAGCTTTAATTAGGTGTGCTCCCTTTTCCAACACTGTGCAATTCCTGACTGCCCTCTAGTACAGTGGTCACTGTCCTATCACTCTGTAAGCTTTTGCTCTGATACTGCTTGAGGGTGGAGAAAATGAAATTAAAACTGTTTACAAGCTGATTGGCACTGTTGTTAGCAGAGCCAGAAAAGCTAATAAGCAAGACAGTAAACGGAAGTCATGAAAGAGCTAGAAATCTGCCTTCATTTCCTCCATGTGATGCTCAGTAGAGTGAGAACGTGTGCCTGATGGTGAACAGGCTGCAGTGCAGCACCCCTCAGCCTGTGAGTATGCACACACAGACCCTTCCCCTGCCTTTTACTTAGAAAACTGTTACCGGTATAAGGCTGTCAGGCCAAGCTCTGTTCCCTGAGAAAGATGAAGTTAAGGCTGTGTTTTTGCTTGACTGAGAAGAAGGTAGCACAGGGGAACATAGGATGAGTTCTCTGGCAAAGGTGTCCCAAGGAGTGCTGGGTGCATTAGGAGTTGGGTGAGGGTGCTGGTGGTTGGCAGGTCACTAGCCACTGAGCATCAGCAGATGAGCTCGACTCCTGCTTGTGCAGCTTTGTCTGCAAGTTCAACCTCCTGGATACCCATGCAAGCCCTTGAAGGTAGGTGAGCCGGTGGCCTTGTGTGTATTGCAAGAAGTATCTGTATAGTTAGAACTGCCACTCAGTGACTTTGCCTAGTTCTTAAGTTGACAGCTTCAGAAATGCGGTGGCCTCAGGTGTCTGTGGGGAAAGAAAAAACTTTTCTGAACAGCAGCAACTCCATCTGCTTGATGCAGGTGCCTTCTCAAACTGCTCAAAAATGCAGTTAATGTCTCTGCAGACCAAACCTGAGGTGTCCCTGGCTTTGGAAGACTCTTAACGTAATTGGGCAAAATTCTGCAAAAGCTTTTTCCTCAAAGGAGTTGTAGCTCTAGCACTTTGCGGGAGCTGTTTGCTGGCTCCAGCACATATGAGCGAGCCCTGTGTGGGAAGAGGGAAGAAATGTGTTTCCAGGGTTGAGCTGTACTACATCAATGACTCACTCAACCTCTCCCATCTCTCCATTAGGTCAACAATACTTGCTGAACAGGCAGGGCCAGGGAGAATACTACCAGCCAACTTGTCCAGTGTTTTGTTGGCTTTCTCTGACCTGAGCCTCTTTTTCCATTCTATTCTTTTCCTTTCTCTGCAAAGGCTGTCTTGATTTTTCTTCTCCCCATCCTGCTTTTTTTATTTTTATTTTTCTACTAATTGGGAGAGGGGAGAGGGAAATATCTTATAACGAGTATGTGTTTGTCTTGTACTATGTAGTTTAGGATCTTTTAATACTACCTCTCTATTTTTTGTTCTATGCTCATAAATGAAATTACAGCAATTTGGAAATACACCTCTGGTACCTATGCCTGTTTGCTGGGAAAAGCAGCACCTCAGACCATCTGGTGATTGGGAAAGAACTGTATGGGCTGCCATGTGCTGTAATTTTGTAACCTTTGAGGAAGGCAGCTGGATTGGAAATGCGTAATTTGGTTTGCATCTGCAGCAAACTAAGCACAAGGCCATCAGCTTGATGTTTGATTTCCCTTCTTCCCCGCCATTATGCAAAACAGTCAAACCCCCACACCCCTGTAGTGCGTCCCTGTGGGGCGTGGAAGCAAAGCTGGGTGAGTTTGGGGTGCCCGGATTTTGAGGTTGTACTGTGCCATTGGGTGTTGGCAAAACTTCAGAAATGTTCTTCAGTTAATAGTGATCAGTGTCTAAAACTGCAGAAATGAATCGGTGGGTTTTGATCTAGCTCATGTCTAGGGAGCTTGCTGGAATAGAAGAGCAAACTACGAGCACAGCAAAGCCCTGGGGAGGTTTGGCCTTTGCAGAAAGGCTGAAATCTGAACCTAGGTGAGAACACAAGGAAGCTCTTTTGGAGATGGGGTTAAGAGAAGAGGCAGTTTCAGGTATCTCACTTGAATACTACTATATCTCTTCTGTGCCTAGGCAGGGAAATTCCCCAACCCCTCAGATTGTCACTAAAATAGCTCCCAGTGCATTTGGGACCAGGTTTTCAGTATCTGTTCTTAGTTGTATGCGAGGGGGCTTTAGATATGCAGCTCTGGGAAGGGGTGCTTGTGAGTTTATTCCCTGGAATCATGATTACACAAACTAAATATCTTGTGAATCAGCTGGTGAGCCGAGCAGCTTGGGAGAGCAGAAATGGCTTGTAGAAGTGACTGCTCTTGTGGAGATGGATGCTAGCTCAAGCCACCCAGCAGTACGTTCCTCCTTAGGATATGTCTGTGCAGGATGTCGCTGCAGCAGGGAGATGGCCACGAGCGAGTGCCAGTACCGCAGCCATGCTCACTAGCACCTGCTGTGCCTGATGTCCCCTGCTCCTGTGCGAATGCACCCCGGCTGGCTACAGCACCCCAGCAGCGTACCACAGCTTCTGCTGAGGTTTCTCTGCACAGCCGTGCTTTGTGCTGGCACTGTGACATACCTGCACCAGCTGAAGTTCCTTGTCCCAGGCTATAAAGTTTGATGGGACAAAATAGGTTTATTCTTTTGATTAAAAAAAAAAAAGCGCTTTGATTAGGTCAGCTTATTTCTTCTGTTTCTGGGCATCATCCCAAATGGTGCAATTAACTTTAGTTGTGTACAGTACAAAAATTCTAAATGGTGAAAATATATTTGATTTAATGTCTGATTAAAATTTCAATGAAGCCAAACTGGCCAGGTGTGCCAAGGTCACTTTCAATATGGCCCCAATTTCATGCCTATTATTATTCTGTAACTGATAACCTCTTTTTCTTTTCCAGGGGTGAATGAAATATGAGGCTGTCACTGAAAAAAAAAAAAAAAAAAAAACCCAAACATTTTTTTATGCTTGTTCTCAAGGGAGTTCATCTTGTGCATGTCTATTTTGCTAAATGTTAAGGAGTTGTATGAAATCTGTGTTTTGGCTATTTGCTGTAATTCTAAGTCTTTGTTTCTGTCTTGGTTTGCCTAAAGTTAAAATGCTGAATGTCCCATGTTCTTTAAAAGATAACTTGTGTAATCAGTTTCATGTATCTTGCCTTCATTTTGCCTAAAGTACACTTCTGAGAAGTCTTTCTTTACAATAAGTAGTCCCTAGTACCTTTACAATTAAGAATTCCTTGATTTAAAACAAAAACAAATGAACAAAAAACCAAAAACACCCCTCTACCACCCCAAGCCCCTAAAAAACCATCCTGGGCATAGAACTATGGAAAGCTGTTGGGTTTGCTATTGCATCCCTGCATTTCTTTTAGCATGTTATTTATAGAAAAAGAGAGCCAATAATACAGTAGTGTTTGCTTTTGTTTTCCAGTGAGGATGAAATGGAGGAAGCAAATGGAAATAACCCTATTGATATTGAAGTTGAACAAAACAAAGAGAGCAAAAAGGAGGTATAATTCTTTTCTTACTACTGTACAAATGAAAGTGTTTTCTTACTAGCTACTTCGCTACTTCATGTAGAAGCTGACAGTATCTAATTTTCTTTATTTGTGCTTTGTATAGTTGTCATACAAGAAAAGAAGAATAGTCTTCAGAATTATTCTTAGATCAAGACAAGTATAGACAAATGAGTTGCTATGGATGGAACTAGGAAAAAATTTAAGGCTTTACCATGCCATGATAAGGCACTATATGAATGTTTCTAGTCTCTTTGATTCAAGGTTGGTTGTGTTAGCTTGAACCACCTTCAGTGATGGTTTAAATCAACTTAACTGTATGAAGATGGAGTAGAAGCACTTATGTCCCCACTGAGATGGCTTGGTGGAAGGGAAATGTGTCCTTTAATCTGTTCTAGGTAGACTAGTGAGAGTGTATTTATCTACACCTTAGATTCTAAGGTAAATTCCTGATGTACTGAAATCCTCAGCAATAGTTCTGAGGGTTTCAGTGGCACCGGGATTGCAACTACAGTGGTGAACAGTAGAGGAGAAGGCTTTTGTGTGGCCAGTTTGTCTGGCAGAGGGGCTGTAACCTATTGTGCAGAGAATATTTTGTCTACTTAAAAAGTAGTACTTGGCCCTAACTTCAATATTTCATTTTAAGTGGGCATACAGTTGTAGATAAAGGTAGAGCCACACAAATACAACAATTTTGAAAACCTAGTCTGTGATGCTTAACATGTATAACCTGCTGGTTATCTGTTACTAAATAAAAAAAGCCTTGCCATTCAGCAGCAGTGTGGGTTGTATGTGTGAGTGCTACAGGAAGATGCTTACCCTAAGGCCTTCTCTCCTTGAAGTAACTCCCTTTCCTGATTTCTCACAGCCTGATCTCTCTCCCACAGTCATTCTCTTTCTAATTTTTTAAATTTTTTTTTTAAAAGGGTATATGTGGGGAAAAAACCCACTAGAATTATTTTAAAATGTGATTGTGCACAGGTGAAAACGTGGGCCTAGAGCAGCTGCTTTGTCAGTCACTGTCAGTGAGATTAATTCCTCTAATAAATTATTTCGAATGTAAATAACTGAAAAATCATGTCATTTTAGCACCCTAGCATGGGTGAAGAGGAGACTTTCTAGACTTTCCAGAAAAGCTGTTACTTCCATCCCTGATGACTTCCTAGGAGCAGAGTGGGTGTGAAGCTGCTCATGTTCACCCTTACAAGACACTGAATTCTCAAAAGCCTCAGCAACACCCAAACTGGAACAGTTCTTACTTGGCTGAGTTGCAGCTGCATTCTGCAGTGCTCCAGTGTATCTTGTAAATAATTAACACTATCATCTCATTTCTCATTATTTTAATAAATTTTCAAGTTTCAATTTCTCCATCAGCTCTTTGAAAGCTTGCATCTGTAGGAGAACTCCCTTCAATCCCCTTTATTACTGCTTCCTTCCCTACCATGCTGGCATGCTCCGAACTTGCTACAGAAGAGGGAAAGGTAGTTCTTCGCCAACTTAGCTGCCTCTGTAAGGCCAAACCAGAGGAGATGGCTGATAGCTGCCATCAAGACATTTTTGTAGAAAGGCTTGTATGGGAGGAGGCTGTCTGCCCTCCATGTCACACTAATAGAGGCCATAGCACTCTAGCTGATCTGAAAGAGATCACCAGAACTCGTGGCGCACATGCAGTCTGGCTGTGTATGCAATGGTGGGCAGCCTTGTGGGTGCTCTTCTGGACAGGGATTGTACTGGTGGGTAAAATGAAGCTGACAACCTGCATAGCCTGTTAAGAGTTAATTTGATTTGATTTTGCAGTACCTCAGCCCAAGGCTGATTGAAAATGCCTTGAGAGAGTGCAGGTATCCAGGAGGGGGATATGTTCTGTCTTGATCATTACATTTCTTTTAATGACGTGGTCAGACACGCAGGGGTGGTGATGTGCCACTAGCCCAGAACTCTTACCGTAAAGAACCTCCTTGTCCCAACCCTGCAGAGATGGTTTTTCCAGCTCTGAGACATGTCAGTTACTGTATGACTTGCCGAGTAATACTGGGATTTCTCAGAGTATCTGAAATTTCTCATCTGTTTCCTCTTTTGGGGATCATTGGAGGGGGAATCTTCCCTTTTTCTTTTTTTTTTAAGTACTTTCAGTGTTAGTGCAACTGTTCAAGTTTCCTCAGATAGTGACTCCATAATACTGAGGTCATGAACAAGGGCTGCTTTCTCCACATCTTCCCTGTTCCTGGAAATGCCTCCCATTTCATCCTCTGCTTTTACATGGCTTGAGATAGCTTGGTCTTTTCTTTTTACACTGTAAAACCTGAGGAAGGGAACCTTGTTTGTATTAAGGGGTTTGTAAGACTGAAGTGTGCTGGATAGCAGTTACAATATGGAATCATAGAATAGTTTGGGTTGGAGGGGACCTTAAAGTTCATCTAGTTCAGAGAAGCACTCCTAAATCCCTGCATTTTAATTCTCTCTGGTTTTCATGAATTAATTCTACAGAGAGATGTGTGTGGCCAGGAAAGCAAGAGTTTGCAAGATAGGGTAGATGCTCAAATTTTCAGAGCTTGAGCAATATCACTAGGGCCTAGAGGCGTTTGGAGCTGTCAAAAACTGTTCTGCTGGAGCTCTGGCTTCTTGTCCACAACACAAAAGAGCTTCACATTCTTTGAACTGTGTAAAAACAATCATTTGAAACTGCTTTCATTTTTTTTGTAATGTTGAGGCTTCTGCGATATTTGCACTGCAGACATTGCGTGTTGGTCAACCTACAGCCTGAACCTGTTGTGAGGCATTACTGCATGATCCTGTGAAATTCTGTACGTAGTTGAATAAATCTGAAATGTCTATCCGTGTTGAATAATTTACCTGGCTCAATTATATAAGTGCTTGCTTCTGAAGCGAAGTGCAGAGCTCACCTCACTTGTTCATAGCTAACCAGTCTGGTTTCTCTTGCTCACCACTCCCTTCTGCAAAAAGAAAGAGGGTATCCATCCTGCAGCAGCAATAGTTATCTCTTGCTCCTGGACTTGTCTTAGGCATCATCTCTCAAGGAGTCCTTTGCACTAAAGGAGGGAAGAAAAAAGCTGAGAGCAGGCAATTGTCTGCATTACTGCTCCTATGTGACTCTGGCCGTTGAGCCCATGAAGAGGGTGCAAGCTTTTCTCTGCCGGCGGCCGTGCTGGGGTCCTCTAGTCTTCAGGAGACAGAGCCTCATGCTTACGTGGGGCTTTGTGCTCAGCCTTGTGTGGGTTTGAATGCGAGCGTTTTAATGCTCATTAATGAGTAGATGCCGCAAACTGTGTAGAAACTACATGTAGCTGCAAATTAGGAGGGAAACAATAGCACTGAATGAAGCCAATGTGTTTAAAGCTGGCAGTGATCAAGTAGAGGACTTCAGATGTGCGGCCTCCTCTCTCTGCTTTTTCTCTCCCTGCCACCTTTCTTCTGTTCTGTGTTCTTGGCCAGGCTCCAGTCACTGGGTAATAAATCTTGGATATGAGTTGCTGGTTGAAAATAACTGGAAGAAATGGATTTGGTATTGGAAAAACAGATGTGCTCTTGAAGGATCTGTAGTATAGTGTCCTAGCTAATCTATCTGTTAGAGGTGTGTGCCTAGTTCTTTGCTTTAGACAGAAGGCATAAAAATAATTAGTGGTGTGTGAAATGTTCCCTTTTTTAAAAGAGACTTCTTTTTGTGAACAAAACTGCATTGGGTGAATTGAACAGTTGATATATCAGTGCTATGCAAGAAAACTTGCCTTCCAAGAAACCACATAATGATCTAAGAATTACTTTGTAGTCGCCTCACTCCTTTATCCTTAGCCTTTAAATAAATTTGACTTATTCCTTCTCCTGTCTGACATGTAGAAAAAGAAGTCCCTGTAAACTCTTCTGGTTGAGTTCTTCCCGTCTTCAAACTCTACTTTGTTCCTTCTGGTGTTCAGTTAAACTGGTGTGTGCAGGCCTGGTGGTGAAAGCAAGAGAGGTTTCAGAGTGTTTGGAAATAACCAGAATATTTAACTGCTGGACAATTGGGTGTCTGTCTCACAAATTGAGAGTAGGCAGAGAAGACAACCAGTATCTCTGTAAACATTGAAAGCTGCCTAGAAGAAAGGAGAGATTTGTATAAAATGGTGTTTGTATGACATGGCACTTTAAGCAAAAAATGTCCTGCCTGCAAGCTGCCTTTTTCATCCTCCAACCTTGGACAATGGCTAAACATCATACAGTCACAGAATGGTTTGAATTGGAGGGGACCTTTAAAGATCATCTAGTTTTGTAAAATGATTGCTGTTTGCCAGGTGCCGCCCACTGAGACAGTTCCTCAGGTGAAGAAGGAGAAGCACAGTACACAAGCCAAGAACAGAGCAAAGAGGAAACCTCCCAAAGGAATGTTCCTTTCACAAGAAGATGTGGAGGCCGTTTCTGCCAACGCAACAGCTGCTACCACTGTACTCAGACAACTGGACATGGAATTAGTCTCAATCAAACGACAGGTATGGATGGGATAGTTCAATAACTGCTGCTTTTGGTCGTAGTGCCTGTCACAGTCTGCAAAGCTCACAGGAATTTGTAGCTTGACAGTGATGACACACATCATTGTGGCTTAATTGACAAGCTGCTAGCCTTATGCTATAAACTAATGCAGCCCTGTGTTGTATGTCTCTTATGTTTTAGTTCTATGGGCAAGCCTACTTTATACCTAAAGTGAAGCAAGGAAAAGTCCATAGCACTGACTTGAAGGAACATTTGTTGGTGTTTTGTGTTTCTTGCAGTTCAGAGTTGCTTATGTTTTAACCATGAACTTCCCGCAGATGACATTGGCTTCAGCAGTATCTGATTTCCATCTGCAGCAGTCAGTTTCCTTTGCCTTTTCATATGGTACTTTTGGAACAGGCAGATACGTTTGTTTTATTCTTTCTTAGGCATCATACCAACTTTCTTATGTACCTTTTGCTTCCCTGATGGATCTGCCTTTTAAACAAATGTTTTTCAAATATCTGTTAGTAAAGACAAGTTTACTACATGAGTCCGTTTCCTAGATTTGAACATTTTCATGGTTTTTAAAGCAGAGATCTGGCTCAAGCTCTTTATTAAACTTAATAGAATTGGTATTTTGGCCTGAAGCCTTTTTCTTGGCACTCTGGGAGAAGCAGAGCTCTCTAGCAGTCTTTGATTCATTGCTTGCTGTGAACAAGGCCTTTCTTCTTATGCTAGGCTTTATACAGATCTGGAACTTGAGGCAGTTCTTGCTCCAAATAACTTGCAGATAGAGTAGAATAAATTAAATGGGATGTCCTGATGTGACAGCTGCTCCTGCATTCCTTTATTTCAATATAACAAATTTTCTTTCTGGAAAAGGGAGGTTATAAGAAAAACTGGAAAGCTGAGCTTGTGGGATT